ACATGAAGCTTGTATAATTTTGAGACTGTCGACAACTGTTGGTTTACTAAAGAACTCTCAATATTAAGCCATACAGCAGGGTTTTCCAAACTGGGTTTTGTGCTGAAACTGCAGGGGCTTTGCGAATTGATGAAATACAAATAATTATTAAATCATAAAATGTAAAAAGAAAAAAAAAAAGAAAAGATGAAATATTTTGTTTACCTGCATTTCATGTGAACATTTATCAACATTAAAGTACTGTAAACATGCAAATGTGTTGTTAAATTATTGAAATATTAACTTAAAATCAAATATTTAACTGACAAAAAAAGTTTGGGAATCCTTGCCATACAGTACCAAACTAACTGTACCGTAGTTTTAATCTACATTTGTTCGGTTCTACATGCATATTAATGCAAGAATATTTAAGTGATGAATATAATAGGGTAGTCAAACAAAGATAATAGGTTTCATATAACTTCATAACTTGACACATGGCAAAAGCAAACACATGAGGAACGTTCAACAATGGAATGACAACAAAGGAAATGATGAATGTCAGGTTATATTTTAATATCATCAGTTCACTTTTCCTCCAATACCAGTGAAATACAAGAAACTACATGTTCATTGCTTCATCACTCCAGTCGCTATTGGAATTCAAACGAAACACATGGTGTAGCTGTCAATCACAAGGGCCCCGCCCTCCAGTCTCCACACCCATGATTAAAGCAAAAACTCAAAACAACAAAAGAGCTATAACAGAGAAGAAAAACATCATAATGTGCGTAAAACGTCTCGTATGGTGATCCTACCCGACACAGACCGGGCAGGGCTAGTTTATCGTTTCTGACATGAGCTACAGCTATTCCATTCACAGTTCTTATTCTGCCCCACACAGGGGAACACTTCATCTCCGTCGAATCCTGATGTGAATTCTCTGAACACACACATGCAATGGGGCTCAGAAAAGGTGCAAATAAAAGTCGAGGCACTGTTGAAGCGACACTAAATTGGCCTCTTGTATTTTCCACTCCCCCTCTGAGAGAGAAAAAAGCACGAAAACAGTAAAGAAGCGAAGTGTGGCACAATGACACAGACGGCCTTAAAGGGTTAGTTCACCCAAAAATTTAATTTATGTCATTAATTACTCACCCTCGTGAGTCGTTTCAAACCCGTAAGACCTTCGTTTATCTTCGGAACACAAATTAAGATATTTTTGATGGATTTCTGACCCTGCATAGACAGCAACACAACTGAAATGTTCCCAAGTCCAGAAACGTAGCAAGGAGATCTGTAAAATAATCCATGTGACATCAGGGGTTCA